AAGAAGTGGATTATCCTTCACCTGAAATGTTTGTCTTTTCATCCTGAAATGCGAGGCAAATGTTGGATCACAATAATTAGGAACCACAGTTTCCACAAATCCCTTCATTTGATTGGGATGTTCTCTTTTATTCTGGAGGGCAAGGGGAGTGACTGTACCATCGAGCGTATTTTGCAGTATTAAACACGTATTTATACCGATTTCATCAGGCTCCGAAAATTCTTCAAAAAGAACACAAAGAATGGCCTTCTCAGCTGCCATAGTTGCAACTCTTGCGTCATCAGAACAGGGTGTTCAATGCACCACCGTTTCCGTTTAAAAAACGTTTTCACCGTTTTTCGTCGGGGCTGAACGCAGCCTTGATACTTAAGGATTAAAAAAAAAAATCAGGAAATCACAGCAGAAACAACTGATACCATTTAATTTCACATGACCCTCTTGACTGCAGTATTGTGCTGCTCTTTAGAGTCCTGGTTCAAACAGAATGATACTCCTACACTGCTTGACATATAATTAGGTTTTTGACATTGTGTAGTATAAAGATGCATGACAAATTTGCCTTAGTTTTGAGGGACAGTTTTGCATGCATGTTCAACCTCAGTATAGTCAGGCTTTTTATGTCATGGCAAGAATTCTCTTTTTTATCATAATGCATCATACATCATTCACTCCCATTCAAAATGTCTTGACTTTTGTACTGTTTGCACAAGAATGTACATTTTCAAAACTGATCTCATACTTTCATTACAGTTGTACAAGAATTGCATTGGCAACAAAAAAATATGACTGTGTCACTGGACAGATACGGTTACAAACTTTTTCTCATTTGTTTATGACAACTGTAGCCTGTTTGCTGAAACAAACTGTAGCCATTGACTTCTGGTTACCAGCATTCTTCAAAATGTCTTCTTTTGTGCTCAACAGAAAAAAAAAGAAAGAAACTCATACAGGTTTGGAACAACTTGAATGATGACAGAATTTTCATACTTTTCATTCACTATCCCTTTAATGATATAGAGATATGGACAAAAAAAATCTTGTTGTATGGTTTCTATGAATACTCAATTCATTGTGCTCACCTTGATTAAT